TGTGTGTGTGTGTGTGTGTGTGTGTGTGTGTGTGTGTGTGTGTGTGGTGTGTTGTGGCCTGGGGATTGAACCCAAGACTTTGCACTGAGCTGCATCCCCAGACCTTTTTATTTTTTTGTTTTGAGACAGGGTCTTGCTAAGTTGCTAAGTTATCCTGGCTGGGCTTGAACCTGAGGCCCTCCTGTGTCAGTCTCCAGAGTGCTGTGTGGTTTTTTATTCTCACCCTGTCATGTAGACCCCAGTGTGCAGGACCATGGAGCAGTGTTTGAGAGTTGCCCTCCTGAGCCAGGTGCAGGGTACACAGAGGGGCAATGGTGGCCACAGCACAGCCCGGATGGCTCTGGGTGGCTCCCTAACCAAGGTGGGTGCCAGGTAGATGAGCCCACGCCAGGACCCCACACCATGGCAGGGCATGGCCCGTAGTCCAGGGTGCGGCCTGTGGCTGTACTGTTCTTCCTGGGTCCCCTCCAGGCAGATCTGGATAAGTGGGCATGGCAGGAGCAGGGTCCCCAGGCCTGTTGGGTGCAGAGCGAGCAGGGCTGGTGCTCACCTGTCTGTCCTTTGAGTCCAGGCTGGCCCTGTGGTCCGGCCAGGCCCGTGATGCCAGGGAAGCCGACCTCGCCGTGGGCTCCTCTCTCCCCGAAGAATCCCTTCAGACCTGAAACACAGCGGGAGGCTCGGGTTGTGCCCACCCAGTGCCCCGCGGAGGCTCCAAGCTTGTGCGGCTCTTGGGGACCCCAGTGGGGCCGTGTCCCGGGCGCTGGATGTCCGCACCTGCTCCTGCCTCGACTCTGCTCCGGCCCGGGCCCCAGCATCAGCCCCAGGACGGCGCCCGGTGACCCCTCAGACACCCAGGCAGCGAGAGCTCAGGCTCAGGACCTCAGTCCCTGCCATGGGGCCTCAGCCCAGTGCCCACAGGCTCGCAGTGGGCAGCACACGGGAGCCAGGTGGGGCCGCGCTGGGGCCAGGATGGAGAGTGCAGCGTACCTGGGGTCCCCGCGATGCCACGCTCTCCCTTCAGGCCTGGGCTTCCTGGTAAATCGATCGTGTCCCCAATGTCACCTGTCACCCGAAGAAGAGCTGGCTGAGAAGAGGCCTCCGGGTAGGAAGGCGGTGGCTTTAGCTTCTTCTGCTGTGCCCTGATCACTTTGTTTTGTTTTGTTTTTTTGAGACACGGTCTCGCTATGTAGTTCGGGCTGGCCTTGAAAACACTATGCAGCCCTCCAGCTCGCAGCAATCCTCCTGCCTCAGCCTCCTGAGTGCTGACATGGCAGGCATGCACCAGCATGCCCGGCCCCCAGTCTTAACATGAACCAGGCTTCAGAGGACCCACGGGTCCAACACCACCTCGGGGCCCGGCTGTCCTGTCTGAGACACCAACACTCACCGAAGTCCCCGGTCAGGCCATCATCGCCATACAGGCCCGAGCTTCCTGGAGCGCCCTTGTCGCCCTGCAAAGCCACAGGAAGCCACTTAGAAGGCCGGTGAGCCACGGGCACTGGCGGGTGCCTGCGCTTCACTGCGCGCTCTTAGCAGAGATCTGAGGCTGGGTCGCCACAGGTCGGTGCTGCCCAGGGACTTGCGCTTTGCTCCCTCCAGGCCCCGAGAGAAGACGCAGCCACCCCGCTTCCCTCACCAAAGCCCGTGAGGGTGGCCAGGGCCCTGAGCCAGCGTGGTCCAGGATGGCCCGGGCAGCTGCCTCTGCTCCTGCCCCTCGGCCACCGTTGCCACCGGGGACGCCAGGCCGTGCAGAGGAGCCCGTGGAGCAGCCTTGCCTGCCCCATACTCACCCGTGAGCCTGTGAAGCCCGGAAACCCAATGACTCCAGGTGGACCGGTCACCCCGGGGAAGCCGGGCAGGCCAGGCGAGCCGGGCACACCGATGTCCCCTTTGATGCCTTTGATGTGGCCAGGCCTTCCGGGCAGCCCTGGGACACCCGCCTGTCCTGGGACACCTGGCATGCCTTGCAGGCCTGCGGGGAGATGAGCGTGTCGGGGAACCATGCCCTCCCTGTGCCCTGCAGTGTGGGCTCTGCCTGCCGCCCCAGCGCCGGCCCTTGTAGGACAGGAGCGCGGGGCTCCCCTCGTGTGGAACCCAGGCCTGGCGGGGCTGGGGCACAGTGAACCTCACCTTTCAAGCCCAGGTGCCCCTTCAGCCCCATGGGCCCTTCGTCACCCTTCTCGCCCTTGATGAACTTCATCCCTGGCATGATGGCAGGAGGGGGCCCCGGGGGGCCAGGCTCCCCACGGTTCCCTGGAAGGAAGCAGAGGCTGTCACTTCCTGTGACCTCAGCCTGCAGGACAAGGGCAGAGCAGGCCTCCTCTCCGTCTCCGCTGCTCCCCGCCAGAGGCGCTGACCACGTGGCCCAGACCGGGCGCCCAGGGCCCGGATGCCCGAGCGGTCAGGGTGAGCCAGTTGGCTCTGGGTGTGGTGCCGTGGGCACTGCACCTGCCCCTGCTGGGGTCCTGGGCCCTCTGGAGACTCTCTGGGCACCCTTCTGCCTCCCCTCCACTGGCTGTGCCAGCCATGGGGTACGTTTCCAGGCCTTGTTGCTCTTCTTGTCCCATCGCATTACAGTAACCCCCGCACACCCACATTTACAGCAGCATAGTCCCTAATAGCTCAGTCTTGGGAGGGGCCTCTATGTCCAGATGGATGGATAAAGAAAATGCATTTACACAC